GCGTTTTGTCGTTTAGGTCCTCGCCCGTTGATGAATCGGACACCGCACCGCCGGCCGCGCCCGTGCGTGAAAATACTCGTAACGGCTCAAATTTTACTCTCGACCACACAGAGAGCCGCTCTGGCTCTGCCTCTAATTGACTATTGTTCCATACGTCTCGCGATGATGAGGATCTTTCGACGCTCCCAGGTCGCATTCAGGGACGACGAACGAGTTCTATAGGATCCTGGACTCCCGTAAGAGTCAATTCAATAGGTCAATTTTCGTGAGGGGATTTGGGATCTATATAGAATCCGCGCAACTAACTGCTATTATCAGTTGTTTTGTTGTATCTCACAAAAAATCCGTAGGATCACATATATCTGCCATACATTGGGTTTTCGCCACATCTTCCTATACACGGACGGCGGGCCCGCGGACCCTTCCTCGTCGAAAGGGGTCGGGAAAGGTCCAAAGTGGTAGAACTGGCGCCATGCTGTCGGAAACTCAAGAGGTGCCTTTAGCTTGTCAATTCCCCCTGATGTAGGCACGACAAAGCAGCACTGGAAAAAAAACACATTGGAGCTAGAGTCCATAGACTCTTGAAAACATTGACAAGAAAAAATACTCTTGATTCAATCAGAAAGCTCAAATCAAGCTTAATCAAAAGGAAATCCGCTCAAATTAAGAGGCTTGGTTCTTGATTTAAGCAAAAATCCGATTGAATCAAGAGTATTTTTTCTTGTAGATGTTTTTAAGAGTCTGGACTCTAGATCCAATGTGCTTGTTTTTCCAGTGAGCGATAAGACATAGCCGACCAATTACACTACGTCATTTAACGTACGTCATCTATGTCCGCTAGACAAACACAAAGGTTCAATAATCGGCCTACAGGAAAGGCGTGCTCCCTCCATAGAATCTGAGATAGTATCATTTGCCCCTTCTCCCTGTTTCTTTCGTTACTCACTACAATCTAGGAGCTTGCAGAGGATCGAATATTGGAGCGTTATCGAATGAGACTGATCGATAACTTTCTATCATCTGCACAATACTATATATCGATCAAGTTCATTCGATAATGATTCAACAATCGACCCGTAGGGCCCATCAATGAACCGGACTTGGACGGACGGTGTCCGGTGAATTAATAACGGCGATTCGGAGTAGCTTTGATGGTATGCATGGTGCTAATTGGTGGACGTGCCCGAGCGTTGCATACCTAATTTGTCACCGAAACTTGCTCGTGAGGCAGCGGTCGGAGGGGAGGGGGAGGGGGGCCCGGCCGAAGGGGGCCTCCTCCCCCGAGTACGTGGGTGGAGAGACGTTGGCGTCGCCGATTCTGAGTGACCTGCACATCGCCCTCATCGCCCGGGTGTCGGGTCACCCGGAACTAGACGTCGAGACATTTCTCCGCGTCCATGTGTGGGCCCACTCGTCCCCCCCCCCCCCTTTCGGCCACACACCAGTCTGTCGGAGGAGTCGGACATGATAAGAAATTTAGGAACTTCATGGAACTCCCATTCAACAGAGACTTTTAGAAGCTTCCATATAGGTTAATAAGAATCGCAGATGTTCAAAAGTAGTTTCATCGAGGTTCTCGTGCAATTTAGTATTTTCTTATCCACTCCTTTCAATCTAAAATTTGACAGAGCAAACGTCAAAAGTTTGAGTTTTAGTCGAAAATTTCATGTCTGACCTCTTCCTATGGCTCGTCTCAGTGTGCGCCGCCTTTGCTCAGCTTTCTCAGTATCTCAGTTGTGGGCTGTTATTGACATTGGGCAAGCTATATGTTACGGGTAATCTAGTCAAACCGGGTAATGTCGACATTACCCGGGTAATGGCGGCAATAATTGACATTACCCAGGCCGTTTTGGTAATGTCGTCATTACCCATAAAATCAGCGGGTAATGTCGGAAAAATGACATTACCCAATGGCTGGTGGGTAATGTCGAAATTGATATGTTTGAAATTACCCGGGTAATGTCTCAATATTTATATGTATTATCGGCAACGCGGGGACGCAGCGGAGTGAAGTGCGTTCGGTGAAGTATAGCGTCCAGCCCACATACAAACTAGAGGCTTCAAAGAGACTCATCGATTGCCCCGACTTAAACCGCTGGCCAATGAGAGGGCCAGGAAAGGCATCGATGAGTCTCTTTGAAGCCTCTAGTTTGTATGTGGGCTGGACGCTTATGGGAGGAGGAGAGGAGAGGGTACCTGTTGATAAGAAGCGTCCAGCTCCGGCACTCACCTTTTTTTTTTTTTTTTTTTTTTTTTTTTTTTTTTTTTTTTTTTTTTTTTTTTTTTTTTTTTTTTT